GAATTACACTTGTGTGACCATTCATTTGGATTGAACCAATATTGTTTCCCTGAATGAAACCAACTTGGTTATGATAATATGAGTTTCTTTGGGGGGGTGCATTAGAGACAGTGTTTCTCTATGGTTTTAGAGTCTGTCTTGGAACTAGTTCTTGTAGAGCAGGCTGGTCTTGAACTCACAGAGATCCACCTGCCTCTGCCTCCCGAGTGCTGGGATTAAAGGCATGTGCCACCACCACTCAGCAGTGATACGAGTTTCTAGATGTATTCTTAAATTCAGTTTCGAAGAATTCTATTTAGAACCTTTATATCTGTGTTCATCAGGGAAATTGGTCCATCGTTTTCTTTCTTATTGTGTCCTTGTTTGGTTTGGGTATCGAGTATCCTGTGTCAGGCTCCATAGAATGAGTCTTCCTATTTCTATGCCTTGGGAAGCATCCGCAGTGAATCCATCTGGACCTGGGATTTTCATTGTTGTGAGACCTTTCATTACTGCACCAACCTCACTGATTATTCTGCATCTGCTTAAGTTGTTTATATCTCTTTATTTATGTTAATACTGTTCATATGTATGAAGGAAATTACACACTTCATGTATATTTTTCATAACTTTGATTTGGGGGGGTTTCTAGACAGGGTTTCTCTGTGGCTTTGGAGGCTGTCCTGGAACTAGCTCTTGTAGACCAGGTTGGTCTTGAACTCACAAAGATCTGCCTGCCTCTGCCTCTCGAGTGCTGGGATTAAAGGTGTGTGCCTGGCTCTTCAAAATATTTTTAAGTACTTCCTAATGATTCTCTATATTTCACTGGATTCTGTAGCTCTGTCTCCTTTTCATATCTAATTGTATTAATTTTATCTTCTCTCTGTTTCCTTTGGTTAGTTTGGTGAGAGACTGATTAATTTTGTTCTTGGAAAGAACACAGTCTTTGATCCATTTTATCTACTTGTGGTGATTTGAATAGGAATGGGCCCCCATGGATTCATGTATTGGAATACTTGATCCATAGGGAGTGGCACTATTAGGAGGTATGGCCTTGTTGGAGTAGGTGTGGCCTTGTTGGAATAAGTGTGGCTTTTTTGGAGAAAGTATGTCATTAGGGTTGGGCTTTGAGGTCTCAGATGCTCAAGCCATGCCCACTGTGGCAGTCTCTGTGATATTTATATGAAATTTTTGTGACTTTTGTTGTTTTTTGAGACAAGATTTCTCTGTATATCTCTAGCTATACTAAACTTGCTATATAGACTAGGCTGGCCTCAAAGTCACAGAGATCCACCTGCCTCTGCATCTTGAGTGCTAGAATTTATGGTGTGCGCCACCACCACCTGATGTGACTGTTTTAATGTAGTGTTCATAGCTATAACCCCTCCACTTGGCACTGCATAACTGTACTCCAACAGTTCTGATAGGTTGTGCTTTTATTTAATTTTTACTTGAGTCTCAGAACTTTTAAATTTCCTCCCTAGTATGTTCGAGGACTCACTTTTCATTCAAGAGTTTATTGTTGTTCATGCTATAGAGATGGTTCTGCAGTTAAGAGCACTGGCTGTTCTTGCAGAGGACCCAGGTTCAGTTCCCAGCATCCACATGGTATCTTTAACTCTAGTTCCAAGTGTCGGATGCCTTCTTCTGGCCTTCAAAGGCACCAAGCATAGACAGGGCACACATGTATACATTCAAGAAAGACATTCAAGCACATTAAAACTTTACAAAATCTTTTTTAAAGATTTATTGCTCATCTCTGTATATTTATTAGTGTAGCTTCTGTTGTTTTACTAATAATTTCTAGTTCTATTTCACTGTGATCTGGTAAGACACAAGAGATGGTTTCTATTCCTTTGTTTCTGGTAAGACTTGAATTGTCTCTTCAAATATGCTCCTTTTTTAGAGGAGACTCCATGGGTTTTATCTATTGAATGAAATGTGTATGACCTGTGTATAGTCTGTGTAATATTCTGTAACTATCTGTTAAGTCCCATGACATGCAGTATACTTTAGCTCCAAGCAGTCTTTGTTGATTTTTGGTTTGCACGTGTATCTAGAGTTGAGAATGGGAGATTAAAGTAGCCCACTATTATTGTATGCAGACCCATCTGACATTGTATGTTCATTACTGGTTTATGGAAGTTGGAACTTCCAATTTACAACTGTTACAACCCTTTATTTACATGTTGTGGTTTCATAATCTCTTCTGAGTAGTTTTGGCTTTATGTCAACTTTATCAGATACGATAAGAGCCATGGCATCTTGTTTTCAGTTTCTGTTCACTTGATAGATTGCTTTCTGTCCTTTGATTCTTAGTCCATAGGTGTCTTCTACATGGAGACAATGGAAGATTGACTATAATCTTTTTTTTTCTTAAAATGATTCTCTTCTTTTTTATTGTTAGAGAATTTACTGTTAGAGAATTATTCAATGTGTTTTGATCAAATCTACCTCCCACTCCTTTTCCTCCAGTACCTCCTCTAGCCTCCCCACCATTTTCCCTCCTGATTTCATGTGCTTTGTCTCTCTAAGTATCCTTGTCTGGCCTGAACTTTCTATATATACCAGGCTAATCTCAGACTCAGAGATCTATCTGCCTCTACCCTGCTAGTGCTGGAGCTAAAGACATACACCACTGTTGTAATTTGAATAAAAATGGAGTGGCACTATTAGGAGGTGTGATGTTGTTGGAGTAGGTGTGGCATTCTTGGAGGAAGTATGTCATGAGGATGGGCTTTGAAGTCTCAGAAGCTCAAGCCGGGCCTAATGGCTCACTGTCTATTCTTCCTGCTGCCTATGGATCCAGATGTAGAACTCTCAGCTACTCTGCAACACCATGTCTGCCTGCATGTTGCCATGCTTCCAATGGACTAAACTTCTGAACTATAAACCAGCCCCAATTCAGTGTTTTCCTTTGCAAGAGTCACAGTGGTTGTGTTATCTCTTCACAGTAGTAGAAATCCTAACTAGGACAACCACCACACTCAACTATGAGTCTCTTTTAAGAGACCAATAAAATAAAACTAAGATACTGTTAAATCTAAGGACAGGAGACAGAAGGAAACAAGAAATAAAAATAGCTAAAACTAAGGTAAAGAAAATATATTGTCCAATAGTGGAAAAAGTACATAGACAAAATTAGATGACTGTGTGAAAGAAAATAAGTAAAACATAAAAACAAAACAAAACAAAAAACCAGCAATCGGGTAGAAATCCTGGTAACCATGTAGGGAGTAGAAAAGAAACACATTGCGAAGAATAAAAGATGAGGTCTGATACAGCTGTTTTTCTGGCTCCTTGAAAGACGGAAATGCAAGTCACGGGTCCAGAGGCAGGGCAGGATCCGCTCAGCATGTGAACTCTGCTTTCCCTTTGTTTTCCTTTCCTTTGCCTGTACTGAACTAAAGTCTTAACCTCTGCTGGGATCCTTTTCGAGGCAGCTGCTTCGCTTCTTTGCGTATCGGGGTCCTCTGCTGGCCACACTTGGTTTTGCATTCTAAGGAGTAAGAAGATTGTCCTTACTTTCCAGATCAGAAGCCCCGCCCCCAGAGTGACTGTTTTATTTAGGGGTGCCTCTCATGGGTGCTGGAAGAGTGGGACTGTAGCACTACCATCGGTTCTGGCAGAAATCTGTCTTTGTACTTCAAGACTTTCTGAGTGCTAACCAACCAGGTGGAAGGGCAAAGTCGTGAGTATAATGCACACATTTGGAATTTCGTCACCATTGGGCTCGAAAGTGGCAACTGACAGTTCCAGGATTTGATCCATCTGCCAGCCTCAGGCTCGGACCATCGAACTCCAGGTTTATTCTCAGCTGATGGGATCTATTTCCAGACATCAAAGGTGGGGGCTCTCTTCGTGGGCATTTTGAAGCCTCAGCCAGATTCACAGAACTTTTAGTCTTTGGTCCATAAGTATCTATTCCTCCTGCTCTCCATGTCTGTCTGTCTGTCTGTCTCTGTCTGTCTGTCTGGGCTTTTCCTCCCCCAGGGCCAGCCGACAAATTTTAATCTGTCAGAAATGGCCCCATTACATACTCATAAACGTTTAATCAGTCAACTGAGCATCCATGTCTAATTGCGTTAATACCGGAAATTAACCTTCACCTGATAGAATCATTGTTTGGAGACAGCAGAGCAGTTTCTGGGAAAGAAGCCCTGCTCTTACTAAAATACACATTCTACATTACGTGTTTACATATATATGGACACATACAAGAAAGCCTTGATGCAGCTCAAATTAACACGTTTATGTTATCCCAAGTATGGGCATACTTTACCTATGGTAGCCTGTTTTCATTTGCTAACAGCACAATATTGTATACTGGGTCCCTTCTAAAGGAAACAGATTGGCACGGTTCTAGTTCAAAGACAAGGGCCCTCATTGGGTAATATTCTTTTTATTAACAGAGTTCCAAAGTGGTTTAACATATCACATGGTGGGAAACAGTGCTGCTATGTGCTAACTGCTACACACACACACACACACACACACACACACACACACACTCACACCTATAAAGCCACAGTATTCAACTATGGATCTTTACCCTGGTTATTTAGATAATTCTCATCATTTCCTAAAAGCTCGTTTCTGAAAACCGTGACTGAATTAAGTTTCCCCTCTGTTACTGTTAATACTTCATGATAGAAATTAAATTTGATAGTGAATTTTGGAAGGAACAAACCATATCCAGGCCATCACACACCAATTGCTTTTTATTTTATTGTTTTCCTTTTTTTTTTTTTTTTTTGGTTCGGTTTGGTTTGGTCTTTCGAGACAGGCTTTCTTTCTTTTTTATTTTATGTGTGTGTTTAATTTAAATTAGAAACATGCATGCTTCAAATGTCAATCCCGGCTCTCCCTCCACCAGCCCCACCCCCACCCCCCCACCCCCAGCCCAGTCCCCACATCATTCCCCAGGGAGGGTAAGGCCCTCCTTGGGGGGATATCCAGAGTCTGTCGAGACAGGGTTTCTCTCTGTGTAGCTTTGCAGACCAGGCTGGCCTCAGAGAGATCCACCTGCCTCTGTCTACAGAGTGCTGGGATTAAAGACTTGTGCCACCACCGCCCAGTTTATTTTACTGTTTTGTTCCTTCATTTGGTTTGTCCTTTCAACAGCTTACATTGTATCTTCTTTTTTGTTGTTGTTTTTTGTTGTTTGTTTGTTTGTTTTTACGAGACAGGGTTTCTCCGTATTGTTTTGGAGGCTATTTGTCCAGCCCAGCCTCGAACTCACAGAGATCCGCCTGCCTCTGCCTCCCGAGTGCTGGGATTAAAGGCGTGCACCGCCGCCACCACCACCCGGCTCAACATCTTACATTGTATCTTCTAATCGAATACTACACTGCTTGCTCCCTCTTTCATTTGTGTCCCCTCTCTTTGCCAGGCTAATCCTTACAGTCCGCAATCCTGGGTCCCTGCCCTAAGCGTGCAGGGTCCTTCTCAAACACTCTTCCATATAGGGCCATCGCTAAGACAGGCAAAAGGGCTCCTCCTCAGCTCCTGAGACGTCCATCTCTTGTAACCTGGTGAGAGATAGCAAATTGTTAACTCCAATGCAAAGCACAGTTTCCAGCAATATCCTTCCAAAAGCAGCATCGAGTGGTATAAATAAAGCATGCAAGATTTGATGGCCAAAGAGTCAACTTTCTGACTCTGGTCTCATTATAGAGGAATGGGGTGAAAATGTAGCAAATAATCTCTTATAAAACTCTGAACACAACTATTGCTAGCACTAAAACAACTTCTCAGCACCCCCCTGGAGTAAGCTGCATATGCAGTGTTCTCACCCATACTGAGCACCACTCGGGGTATTATGCATGCTGGACAGAGCCTCTACCCATGATCTACGTTCCTAACTCTTTAGAACATATTATTACTTTTTTGATTGACTTATCGGTCTTATGTGTATAAATGTTTGACCAGCATGTGCATCCATTCACTGTGTGAGTGCTGAGTGCCTGTAGAGGTCAGAAGAGGGTGTTGGGCACAGATCCCTTAGAATTGAAGTTACCAGTCAGTATGAGCCACCATGTGGGTGTTAAGTCTCAAACCCAGGTTCTCTGTAAGAGCAGCAAGTGCTCTAAACCACTAAGCCATGTTCCCAGCTTAATTTTTATTTCATGTACATGAATGTTTTGCCTGCATATATGTATTTGCACCGTGTACACGCAATGTCTGAGAAAGTCAGAAGAGGGCATCAGACTCCCTACAACAAGAGTTATTGACACAGTTGTAATTGGTTATGTGCTAGCTGGGAGTCAATGCTGGTCCTCTGCAAGACTAGAAAGTGCTCTAATCTGCTGAGCCATCCCTTCCGCCAACTGTGTGTATGTGTGTGTGTGTGTGTGTGTGTACATATATATTTGTGTGTATGTATATATGTGTGCATGTGTGCATATATGCTGGTTTTTATGAGACAGGGTCTCTCTATGTAGTCTTGACTGTCCTCTAACTAGCTATGCAGACCAGACTGGCCTTTAACTAACAAAGATCTACCTGCCCCTGCCTCCAGGATTAAATTTTTATATTTTTATTTTGAGACTAGGTCTCACAAAATTGTCAGTTCAGACTGACCTTGGACTCACTTTGTAGCCTATGCAGACCTTCAACTTCTGACCATCTTCCTTCAGTCTCCTAAATAGTTTAGATTACAGGCTGTTCCACCAGACCCAGCTGGCTGCACTGTTGAATGAACTATGCTTAACCTGAATTTTTACATTACACAAAGAGTTATTAGCAGTCCGTATTCTAATTTTAATTCCCTCATGACTTCACATTTTTATAGAACACTGCACTCTAACTTTTCTCTTCAGGATAAATACAATCTGCAACTACAAGTTGTTCTGTGCCACAGCTAATGTGACTTTTAAAGCATCTCTCACAGATTGAGAAGGGCAATATTTCAGTACTCCCCCTTGCTCCTTCTTTCCTTTCTTCTTTCCTTCCTTCCTTCCTTTTCCTTTTTCATTTTTTGTTTGTATTTCAAGACAGGATTTTTCTGTGTAGCCTTGGCTGTCCTAGAACTCACTCTGTAAACCAGGCTGAACTCAAAGTCACAGAGAGCCACCTGCCTCTTCTTCCCGAGGGCTGGGATTAAAGGTGTGAGCCACCACCGCCCGGCCCTTTATTTCAAAGATCTTGATTATATTGGTCTACTTCATCTACTCAAAGAAATTTGTCCCCTTGAAGGCCTCCTACTTCATAATATCTCTCCAGGGCAAGCTGACTCCCACTTAGGACGATCTGAGGGAAAACGTAGTTCGTCCCAAAGGTGCCACTGAGATAGAATTCTTCAAACTTGGTAAAAAGCTGACCCCATGGGTTCCCCACAAGTTCTCAAGTTGGTGGTTTGACACTTCAGCAATGTGCATATCTGTGTAAAAGGGGAAAGGAAAAAAGTAGTCAAAATTCAGTTTCAAAGAACAGAGTTTCCATTTAAGCTGTCACAACTTGTTAAATATTATGTCAAATTCAGTGGGACAAGATTATTACACTTTTTTGTTTGGCTGGCTGGTTTTTTGTTTTGTTTTGTCTTTGTTTTGTTTCTCTGTGTAGTCATGGCTGTCACAGAACTCACCCTATAAGCCAGGCTGGCTTCAAGCTCAGAGTTGTACCTGCCTCTGCCTCCCAAGTACTGGAATTGAAGGTAGGCGCCACCACCACCCTGCAATTATTACATTTTTAATAAAGGAAAATTGTATTGCATTTTAAAGGCCAGTGTTCTGGATAATTCTAATTTGGATTATTTTCTAAGCCATTTGATTTGGTTAAATTTTCTTCTAACTCAGTCATGCGCCCATGTGTTCCACTGGGTCACAAGTTAATTTAGAACCCAGTGGAAGACAGCTGGCAAAACAGTTATCTAAAGCAACAAGAGGAGGCATAAACAGTGCAGCCTTTTAAACAAGAACTTGCCTACAGAGAATGCCCAATCTGCTTTAAGCTTTTCACCTTGTAACCAAAAAAAAAAAAAAAAAGAATTTGTTCTGGTGAAAACGGAACAAATTAAATGTTCTGCAGTTGCAAATAAGTCTGATAAATTCAACATTATACAGATTAACTGAAATTAGTTCAATTTTGAAGGAAAAGCTGTGTTACCTGTGCTGATTATTTTATGTTTTATTTTATTTGTGAACTTGATGCAGCTAGGGTCATCTGGAAAGAGAAACCTTTTTGTTTGGTTGTTTTTTGTTTATTTTGAGACAGGGTTTCTCAGTGTAGCTTTGGAGCCAGTACTGGCACTCACTCTGTAGACCAGGCTGTCCTCAAACTCACAGAGATCCACCTGCCTCTGCCTCCCCAGTGCTGGGATTAAAGGTGTGTGCCACCACCGCCCGGCTCCAGGGGCATTTCCTTTAAATTAATGATTATTTACATGGGAGGGCTCACTTTGGGTGGTGCTATTCCTGGGTCGGTGGTCTTGATATGAGAAAATAGCTGAACAACTCATGGGGAACAAGCCAGTAAGCAACACGCCTCCATGGTCTCTGTTTTAGTTCCTGCCTTGACTTCCCTTGGTGATGGACTGTGATTTCAAAGTAAGCCACACAGGCCCTTTCTCCTTTAAGTTACTTTTACTCATGGTCTTAATCACAGTAATAAAAGCAATGGCTTAGAAGAAAGCCCAGCAATAAGGTCATCCTAACTATTCAAGCATTCTACCTGTAAGTAATATTGGCCTTCCACTGTGTGCAGTCCATCAAAGGCATCCAGGACATAGGCCTCGTCCATTCACTTCTGTGACATCTTGTAAGTCAGGTGACAGACAACACAGGTCCTTTTGGCAAACTGTGTAATTTCCAGTGTTTCCGGAAAGCTTGGTGAAGTTGAATTCATCCCTGGGAAGTCTTGCTGCTCTGATGAGAATGACTTGATACTTCTGGCGTAAGCACTCCAGTCAACCTCTGCAGAAGCGGTGGGCCATCGGGGCGAGGACTTCAATTCTGATAAGAGCAGCTGGCCGCTGTCTGTCTCCATGTCATAATGGTACACACCAACTGCTTCCGGGCTGTAGATCCCACTCCCTATGGCCAACATTTTTTTTTAATTTTTTTTCCAGTTTAAATTTAGATAAGAATCAAGGTTGCTTCACAAGTCAGTTCCAGGTCCCTCTCCCATTCCCTCCCTTCCTCCCGTGCCCTCCCCCCCCCCCCGTTATCCCCTCATTTCTCCAGGGAGGGTGAGGCCCTCCATGGGGGTGTCCATAGTGTGTCATTTCATATAGGGCAGGGCCTAGACCCTTTCCCAAGAGTTCAAGGTGAGAGTGCACCTCACATTGTTCTATTGGAGTCCAAAGTCCGTGTGTATACTTGGGATGGGTACTGATCTGCTGCCCAAGGCTCAATAGATTCCCTAGGCCTCTTTACTGACACCCAGATTCAGGGGGTCTTGATCAGTCCCATGCTGGCTTCCCAGGCTAATGCCTGGGATTCAAGAGTTAACCTTTGTCTGGTCAGCTGTTTCTGGGGGTTAAACCAGCCCAGTCTTAATCCCTTTGATCATCAGTCCTCCCTCTCTGTTACTGGCTTTCTTGAGTTCAGCTCAGTACTTAACCAAGGGAGTCTGCCTCTTCTTCGATCAGCCACTAAATAAAGTTTCTGTTTCCCAGACTCTCTGGCCATAGGATTGTAGGCTGGCACTCCCCAGATCTATGTCTAAAATCCATATATGAGAGAGTACATGCCATGTTTCTCTTTTTGTGACTGGGTTACCTCACTCAAGATGGTTTCTTCTAGTGTCATCCATTTGCCTGCGAATCTCATGATTCCATTATTTTTTTCTGCTGAATAGTACTCCATTGTGTAGATGTACCACATTTTCTCTATCCACTCTTCAGGTGAGGGACATCTAGGTTGCTTCCACGTTCTGGCAATTACAAATAAAGCTGCTATGAACATAGTGGAACAGACATCTTTGTTGTATGAATGGGCATCTTTTGGATATATGCCTAAGAGTGGAGTTGCTGGGTCTTGTGGTAGGTTTATTCCCATTTTTCTGAGGAATCTCCACACTGATTTCCAAAGTGGCTGAACCAGTTGGCACTCCCACCAGCAATAGAGGAGTGTCCCCCTTTCACCACATCCTCTCCAGCATAAATTGTCATTGGTGTTTTTGATTTTAGCCATTCTGACAGGGGTGAGATGGTATCTGAGAGTTGTTTTGATTTGCATTTCCCGGATGGCTAAGGATGTTGAGCACTTTCTCAAGTGCCTCTCAGCCATTTTAGACTCCTCTATTGAAAACTCTCTATTTAGTTCTGCAGCCCACTTTTTAATAGGGTCCTTTGGTGTTTTGGAGACTTGCTTCTTGAGTTCTTTGTAAATTTTGGAGATCAACCCTCTGTCAGATGTGGGATTAGTGAATATTTTTTCCCATTCTGTGGGCTGCCTTTTTGTCTTGCTGACTGTGTCCTTTGCCTTACAGAAGCTTCTCAGTTTCAGTAGATCCCATTTATTAATTGTTGATCTTACTGCCTGTGCTACTGGTGTTATGTTCAGGAAGCTGTCTCCTGTACCAATTCGTTCAAGGGTACCACCCACTTTCTCTTCTAAGAGGTTCAGTGTGGCTGGATTTATGTTGAGGTCTTTGATCCATTTGGACTTAAGTTTTGTGCATGGCGATAGACATGGATGGATCTGCATTCTTCTACATGCCAGTCTCCAATTATGCCAGCACCATTTGTTGAAGATGCTTTCTTTATTCCATTGTATATTTTTAGCTTCTTTGTCAAAGATCAGATGTTCGTACGTGTGTGGGTTAATACCCGGGTTTTCAATTCGATTCCATTGGTCTACCCATGGTATTATTAATTTTATAATAGTGAAGTTAGCCATTAAAGAAAAGTTTGACTTGAAAATCAATGAGGAGTTCTTCCCCAAGACTGTCATTGTCATTTGACCAGTGACTGGCCAGTTACCTGTCATGTGCATTCTGGTGTTGTGGGTGTTTGCAGCCAGCAGGTTGACTCCCACGGCCCTGGCCCACGCTGAATGGAATGGGGGCAGCCAATAGGAGGGGCAGGGTGTTGTACCATGCCATAGGGTAGAGAACACTGTCAACACCAGAGTCCCACCACAGCTGGGTCATAAGAAAATATGTCAAAGCAAGTGAAGATGCCAAACCTCCCAAAGGGAGTGTCAAAAGTCACCAGCTCTGAATGCTTGGGGAAATCAAACTGAATCTCTGGAGCAAAAAGATTATACTGTCAAAGACAAGCAGAGATGGCAGAAATCAGTCAAGAGCAGATTGGCCAACAGATATGGTCAATTCCCACAAAATCTCTTCTTCCATGTCTGTTGATGCGCGTATGGTTGCACAAGGATTTGCAAACATTGTGCCAATTATACCAACTGTCTGTGAGTTTCCACGCCGTGACATTCATCAAAACACTTTCTTTTTAAGCATCAGTGAGCAAATGAAAGCAAGTGATGTCTAAAATGTGATTATTTCTATCTTTCAAACTACAAGATGAAATTTTTTCTTGTTATTTTTAATGACACGTGAGTGACTATGTGTAAATACACGTATGTGAGTGTAAGTATCAATGAACCAGAAGAGAGTTTGGGGTCCTCTGGAGCTGGAGTGACAAGCTGTTGTGGGTTACCCTAGGTGGGTGCTGGGAATTGAACTAAGGTCCTCTGAAAGAGCAGCCATGTGCTCTCAACTGCTGAGCCATCTATCTAGCCCACAGACAGGATGAACTCTTGAGTCTCTTAATTTTAAAACTCTTTCCACTGTATTCTTTAAATATGAGGAGCACTCCCTGTGTGAGGCCTAGTATGTGTTAATACTATAAACCTCATCATGTTATATCAATTAAATGAAGTTGACTTAAATTAATTTCTGCTTTGGAGTCACTAAGCCTTGCTAATTACTAGTCTACTGGTAATCTTGTTTTCTTCAGCCAGTTAATTCTGAAGCATTAAGTATTATATTGATGACAGTCACCAGGGACACTGAAGATCACTGAAGCTTCACAGTTCTTTGTCACATCATCATTACTCTTATCAGGCACCTGAGTGTGTCTTCCATTAGCGTGGTCTCTCCTGCATCCGGCCTACTTAACTCCAGCTCAGGAGCAGGGAGGGCACTTGCTTATCTGGGTCTTCGCTTGGTCTGATGCACGCCTTAGTGCAGTCTGGCATCAGCTACCCCACATCTCAGTGTTCTGGAGGCTCTCTTGGTCCTCCATCCAACTCCTTTGTGGAAGTACATCCTACAGAAAACAGTGAATGGTTCCGACAGGTGTGTGACCTGACTGGAATGAAGGCATGAGGAGGCCATGGCAGGGGGTCTAAGTAACAGAAATGCATGTTTCTGTGGACCTGGTTCATAAGGATGGGCACATTGTGTTGTGCTGCTGTGGCCATGTGGTGTCTAAGAGGGCAGTTATTCTGAGCAAAAGCTGTTAGTAAGAGGGAGGTGGATAAGATTGCTGAGAAATGGACCAGCTGCTCCTGGAAAGACAGCTACATTTTCTGTGATAGGATTCTTTTCAGCTACACAAACAAAAATATTTCCTCTCTCTTTTTTCAGAACCAGTTTCTGTTGGGGTTTTGTTTCATAGCCGTGAAGAGGTTATGCTTAAATAAATAGTAACTTAGTATTAAATAATAGCCTCTCTTATCCTAAATCAAAGATGAGACAGTATTTCTCCTTTCTCAAAGGATATTCAGTATCTGTGAGGCTATTATCACATCTGTTTTGACATTTTGCTATAGTCTATGACTAATTCACACAGAGAATCCTTGACTGGTACACCAATAAATGAAGTTGTCTTTTCAACTAGAGTGATAATGAGATGTTTCTGTAACAGTTACATATCCAGTATCTAAAAACGGAATATACACACATATCAGAAACAACAGAAAAAAAAAACAAGTTTAATGATGACATGGGTAATTCTTACCTTATGGTATCGGGCTGTTAGCTTACCCTCAGAATCAAATACCACATTGGTGTTGTATTGATAATGGCCATCCAGAGGACACTGAGGGTCAGTAGCATTGCATGGCTTTTTATCCCCAATATTTGCCACAATATAGATAGAATTATCCTTGGCAAGGCAACTGAGTCTCTCCTGCACTGGTGTGTAGCCAAACCTAATTCAAAAAAATTGCCACAAGCTGTAACTTCCAAAATATCAAAGTGATATTATATTTTTCCTTTTCCCACAGTGCAACAGCTCTAGTTCAAGAATTAAAACTCACATGCAGACTGGGGAGATGGTTCAGTCAGTGAAGCACTTGCCTTCTGAGTGTGAGGACCCGAGTTCAGATCTCAGAACCCATATAAATGCCAGGCACAGAACCATGCACCTGTAATCTTAGCAACAGGGAGGTGGGAGACAGAGACAGAGACAGACAGACAGACAGACCTTGGAAGCCTGGAACCCTATGTGGCTCAAACAGTCGTAGACAGTAACTGCACACCCCCTACATTCAATGTTGTCCTCTGACCTCCAAATATACACTGCATGCTCACCTGTCCACAGAGATGATTCCCACACTCGTATATACAGGCACACAAAGGAAAAACAAAAGCTTATGTGCAACATAGTGTGTGTGTGTATGATTACCAGTGTCTACTAATGTGCCAGATAGCCCAGCATGAAAGCCTAGAGAAGACTGAGGGGAAACTAATACTCTAACTTGGAGGGGGAAGAGAAGCTATGCAAGAGCTTGACATTTAGCAAACTCCTCTGTGAGATGGGCCTCATCTATCTAGAATATTACAAATGTGTGGCTTTAAACTGTGGTCGAGAACAAAGTACCAAGTGGCAGAAAACAGTTGGTCCTGGGCAGGTATGTCATCTTCCATGAGGAGCAAATGAGGCATCGAGCAGTGGGAATGTAAACAAATAAACAGTACATGGGCCTGGCTCAACTTTCTCATCCGACAAGTGATATTTGGCTTCCTTTCTATCTTAGAAAGTTCTGGTGGAGAAAAGCACATGTCATGAAATAGTCTGTATATTTATCCCAGAAATAGAAAGGGAATAAGGTGAGGTGACATACGGCTTCAAATATTTGAATGTCTCTTGTGTAGGAGATATGTGCTGTGAAGAAAAGTGTACTCAGCAAGACAGATCAGAAGCCAAAGTCGTAAGGAGGAGGATGTCACTGACTACCTTCCTTGAATAAATATGCTCTTATAGTTTTCAGTACAATGCAGTAAAGTGGCAAGTCTATTAAGTTACCATGGCTTGATGCAGCTGGTTGTGAGGTGTGCATGAGTGCATTTGTTCATGTGTGTGAGTGTAGGTGCACTTGTGGGTGTGGGCGCACATATGTACGTGGATGGAATCAGATGACCACCCTGGGTATCATTCTTCAGTCACTTTCCCCCTCCCTGCCCCTTCTCACACAGTGTCTCTCATTGACCCAGGACCTCACTAGTAAGAAAGCTAGACTGGACAGCTAGCAAACTCTCGGGATTTGAATGATTTTGCTTCCCAACTTGCGATTGCCAAGATTTTAAATGTGTGTTACTGTTCCCAGTTATTTAAATGGGTCCTCTGGATCAAACTTGAGCCTTCACACTTTCAAGGCAAACACTTTATAGACTGAACCCTCCCCCTAGCCTGCAAAGGGCTTTCTTTAATTCCACATAACCTAATTACTAATTATGAAGTATTAACTCTCCCTTTCTTTGGATAGTTAATATGCAAATAATGACACCTACTGTCATTAGTGAAAGAGTTAGTATGCATAGCACACCAGATGCAACTCTTGGAATTCTGAAAAGGTACAGAAAATAACTAACACCTCTTATGGATTTCTGTAAAACTCCAGATGGATGCCCAAAGTTGATGTTGTATATCTTCCCTGATCATTCTCATTCAATCTATCAAGACAACACGGCTTGCCAGTTCCTGATAGTGTAACTAGCTACATTTTCCTGGAATCCCCAATCCCGGCCTCCCAAGTATTGGACTAGAGGTGGCCCTCATGCCTGCCTGGACTTTACATAGGTCTGGGGATCTGAACTCCAGTTTTCACACTTAATTGGCAAGTGCTTTATCCACTGAATCATCTCCCCAATAGTTCTATTTTGTTATTATTGTTACTATCTTTTTTTTAAGCAGAGTTTTGCTATGTAGCCCAGGATGCCTTTGAGCTCATGAAACAATTCCTCCCACCTCAGTTTCTCAAGTGCTGGAATTAAAATCATGAGCCCCTAAGACCCAACTTGATTCCCCACAAAGCTGACTCTTTGTCATTGGAATAATTCAGTGTTAAAATTCCATGAGTCATTTGCCTTTGCAATTTAACAGAATTCAAGTAAGCATAACCACCAGACTTATGAGCATCGTCTCCTCAGAGAGCCAACTCTATTGGCATTATCACATGATGTATATTTTAATATAAACCTCTAGAATTACAGTAAGTAGTGATTGTTTCTCATCCTAGGAAAAGCTTTTAATGGAGTGACATTGCACCACTATTCCATGCTTTCTGCACACAGGTCATGTAACCATTTAGAAAACACTTTCCCAATAATAGAATTGTTATTTAATAATTATAATTTATAAATACAGATTATATAATTTATAAATACATATTATATAATATGATAAAATAATTATAATAATAATCACATTTAAAAAGCTCCTCCTTGGAGGCAATAGACATGAGTCTGAAGAGGTACATGCAGGTATAAAATTAGCAATTGGAAGCATTTTTCAAATTTCTCCACTCAAAGAATTACCTGTGAACTATGCTAAAGGGTAAATAATTACACCAAAAATAATCTATTTCATCTTTCTTTTAAAATTATATATAATTATACACACATATATATATTTCAAGAAGGTTGTGCCTAAACCACAATTATTAATGAGGACTAAAAATCTAAGGACAAGAGTGCAGAGTAGTTTACAGTCAGCTTCTCCGGTCATAAAGAAGTCATTGTGGCACAGGATGTTAAAGAGAACGCTGCAGGGTTCACACAAACCATTTCATCTGGTACCCTTCTCTACCCCATAAGGGAAATAGAGACCCAATTTCATTGCCTTTGTTTTATAGATAAAGAAAGGAACAGAATGCCAAGCATTTGTGCTACATACCCTGTACCACTCAGCGGGGAGGTAGTTAAGATGAGGACTCAGAAAGATCACTTCCTTTTTGAAGGCCCATGGAACTTCCATGAACCCTATTGACGACTGTGAAATCATGGTGACAGCACAGCTTTAGAAACACAGACTCAATCTTCTCACTATCCTGTTGGGGAAGTCCTGTTATTTGCCTGTTATTTGTCAATAAAGTACTGTTGAGCCTATAGGAATCTAGATAGGTGGGGCTAGGAGTCCAGGAGGATTCTGGGAAGGAGAAACACAAGAGAGTCAACATGTAACGCCATGGGGGTAGGAAGCCTGGAACTATTCTCCAGTAAGAAACATACTTAGATTAACAATTATGGGGTAATTACTTAAGTCAGAGCTAGCTAGTAAGAAACAAGCAAGGCCAACAGCTTCATAATTAACATAGCCTCCTGTGTGTTTATTTGGGACTGATGCGGATCTGGAACCAGGCGGGCAAGAAGGCTCCTCTCAAAGAAAAAGCTTCTCTTAACACTATCCTCCTGAGGGAGGCAGGCATTCCTGGGTCCACTGACTAGCTTGTACTTGAAAGCACAGGACCCAAAGACAACATTCTCACTTGGCTGAAGCTCAGTCAAATGTATTTGTTGGCAACAGTGTGTTCACACACTAGGCTTTAAAGAGAACTGCAATCAGTAACAAATCAAGCATTCTTACCTAAGTCATTCACCAGATGGGAGACACATTGGGTAGTAAGCACTATGAAACATTAATGTCCAATGTCACTGACTAATCATCAGAAAAACAAGTCAAGCTTGGTGACTCTGCTGTTCTTCCTCATCAGAACCCGTTTGGTGAAAGAGTCACTACCCTTTGGTGTGATCTTACCTCTTAGGGTCTCTACAGGGAATCCAGTTCACTTCAGGGTCTGGTATATCCTCCAGGTAGGGGTAAATGGTCTCCCTGGTGAAAATCCAACCATAGATTCCATCTTCTGGGGTCACAATGATATGTGCACCCTGCTCAAAGCAAGTATGGAAAGAAAAGGTTTCTCATAATTTCTAAAAGCCCATGTCCTTGTCTAGTGGTAAATCCATATCCATCCCAGACATGAACACAAGAGACACCTGCTTGGCTGCCAGCTTTATTGCTTTCTCCAAAATGCAATAAAGGCTTGTGCATCAGGAGCAAAGCCTCTTCCGTAGAAACAGCTCTTTCTGTTCTGTTTGTCAATATAACAGCATGCTCATATACAGCAGCAATAAAAGTGTCCAGTGCACCCACAGTCTGAGCAAAGAGGGAAAAACTCAATACAAATTTAAGAATATATAATGGAGCCATAGTTAAAATAGAGTGATTGTTGAAAAACAAAAGGTTCTTCTACCGTGTATCAAAGGAAAAATATTCAGACTAAAGCCCTGCCCTGCCCACAGCCAGCTACATTTGTCTCCCTGAGAATACATTATGCAACACAGCATTGAGAAAGATGTTGTACAAGACTGGCAGGCAGAGCTACATAATTGCATGGATGTGGGTTTGCCGCAGCTGTTGACATTGCTTAGCAGCCAACTCATCTCTAAAAGGGATATCACTGAACCAACCAGATGAGTGCACCCAAAACACATTGGACAAATTCTTATTTGGTGTAGTTTTAAATGAAATGTATCTTACTAGGACACCAATATTTCCAGTATTAGAGTCAATACTGAGGTGTTCTAGAAGACAATTATCACATCAACAATTTCTTGAGGATGTATACTCATGGCTGTAACGGGGACAAAACAGTATAAGAAAAGCTCCCGAGTTTTTAACTACACTTATTTTATTTTACTTGTATGTTTTGCCTCTATGTGTATAAGTGTACCTACCATGTCCACGCCTGGAGCCCAGGAATTTTAGAAGAAGGTGATGCCCTGGTACTGGAATTTCAGGTGATTGTGACTCACTATGAGGATACTGGAAAACAAACTGAGGTCCTCTGAAAGAACACATGCTCCTTAACTATTAAGCCATTTCTCCATTCCTTCCACTTTTTTAAAAAAATAATATGAGAATTTCATACAAGCTTATAACATGTCTTGATCAAACTCACAGGTCTTTCTTAGCCTTCCACTTCCTCCTCTATCCTTCCTACACTTCCCCCCAACTTCAAATGTGTGCTCTCCCTCTGTCTCCCTTCTCTTCCTCCCTCCCTCCCCCTTCTCTCTCTCTGTCTCTCTCTCTTTCTCTCTCTCTCTCTCTCTCTCTCTCTCTCTCTCTCTCTCTCTCTCTCTCACACACACACACACACACACGCAATAATAATAACTTCTTAAAATTAAAAACAAAAACCCAAGAAACCTCAATCTTGTATAGCCTTTTTGTTTGTTTTGGTTAATTGATCAAGACAGGGCCTCATTTTCCAAAGTTTAGCATAGGCTCCCTATATTGCCAAGAATGACCTTGAACTCCTGACTGTTCTATCTCCATTCCCAGAGTGCTGAAGATTGTAGGTGTATGCTACCATTCTATCCTCGTTTTTTGTTATTTGTAGCCCTATATCTTCATAAGTTCCTTAAGGACAAAGGTCAGCTTTCTGTTCAACTGCTCATGTGAAATTATGTACTACACAAATCCCTGATTCTTACTTTGTTAACTTCAAATTTTTTACCTGTTTTAAATTGAATCTCTTCATTTGCATATGAGTTAGTTGATTTAAGGTAGAAAGATTTTCTTTTAAGACAAATCTGATTACAGAATTATTAATACTGGTTATTCCTTTAAGGGTTCTTTCAGATGTTCATTTGATTTAGGGAAATTTACAAATTTTGTAAATATATATCTTTTTGCCCTTTGGCTTGATTCTATATTCCTAAGTCCCTTGAGTCTTACAAACCTTCCCATGTGGGTATGTCTTCTGTCAGGGCTCTCATTTCTTTGTGTCCATATCCATAAGTTCACTCCAGAAGGAATATCTAAGAATGAATTCCTAAAAAGAAAAAAGATAAATTTTAAATTTCATGTTGAAATTCTAACTTATTTGCCCCACCTAATTTTCTGTATAAAATCAGAGAAAAGGGTGTGGAAATTCCCCTGCATTTTCCCCATCTCTCACTCCAGGAAATATTTCACTATCTATCATTTTGAAACCAGTTGACACTCAAAATAAATATTATGTTTCCAGCAAGATCAATAACCCCTTTACTTTCCATATTAGGAATCAGGACTATCCATGGAGATTACTTGAAATGACATTTATACATAATCTCAAGGACAGTTTGGATTATTGTAATGTTGGAAATTTAAAGTTTGAAGTATTGTACTTAAATAGATGTAACTGTTCTTTTAAATATGTGGATTAAGAGCTAGAGACATTGCTCCAGTGGTAGAGAACCTGCTTAGTATGCAGGAGGCCATTTGGTTTGATTCCCAACATCATCAAAACCTGTGTGTGTGTGTGTGTGTGTGTGTGTGTGTGTGTGTGTGTGTGTGTGAGAGACAGAGAGAGAGAGAGAGAGAGAGAGAGAGAGAGATGAGTGTCTCTCTGTGTGTAAGTGAGTGTATGTGTAAGAAAATTTTTCAAAGGGGAGGGGAAACCTCAGAATAAAATCTTGGCTGGCACCCTCCAAGCCTTCCTTCCTCAGATTCACTAAGAGATCTCTTCTTTCATTCCAATGATTCTTTTTCATTTTAATTAATGTTTTTTCATTTTTAATTCAAATTAGAAACAATCTTATTTTACATATCAATTCCAGTTCCCTCTCCCTTCCATTCTCCCATGACCCCCACTGACCCTCCCATCCCATCCCCCTTCTGCTCCCTAGGGATGGTGAGGCCTTCCATGGGGGATCTTCAAAGTCTGTTATATCATTTGGAGCAGAGCCTAGACCCCCCCCATGTGTCTAGGCTAAGAGAATATCCATCTATGTGGAGTTGGCTCCAAAGTCTATTAGTACACTAGGGATAAATACTGGTCTACTACCAGATGCCCCATAGACTTCACAGGCCTTCTAACTGACACCCACGTTCAGGGGGTCTGGATCAGTCCTATGCTGGTTTCACAGCTATCAATATGGGGTCCATGAGCTCCCCCTTGTTCAGGTCAGCTGTTTCTGTGGGTTTCACCAGCCTGGTCTTGACCCCTTTGCTTATCACTCCTCCCTCTCCGCAACTGGATTCCAAGAGTTCAACTCAGTGTTTAGCTGTGGGTGTCTGTTTCTGCTTCCATTAGCTACCAGATGAAGGCTCTAGGTTGGCATATAAGGCAGTCATCAATCTCATTATCAGGGAAGGCATTTAAGGTAGCCTCTTCACTACTTCTTAGATTCTTAGTTGGGGTCATCCTTGTAGATCTCTGGACATTTCCCTAGTGCCAGATTTCTCTTTAAATCTATAATGGCTCCCTCTATTATGGTATCTCTTTTCTTGATCTCCTCTATTCTTCCCCTGACTCGATCTTCCTGGTCCTTCATGTCTTCCTCCCCCCTCCTCTTCTCCCCTTCTCTTGGTGAAGATGCCGTGCACAGATCAGTCCATTCAACCGGAGGTAAAGATGAGAACTAATGGCCAGCTGCTTTGCTTTTCTGATCTTTAGCTTGAAGTTTGAACCCAAACATCAGTGTCTAGGTCTTTTATTTATTCATGTTACAAGCAACAAATGTAGTTTTCTCATTAGGGCCTATTACTTCTCTAGTCATGGGCTTCTAAACAGGTTTACAATATAAGACAGGAACTCCCACCTGCAAAACCAGACCCAAAACTAAAATTATAAACACCTTCACTCTAACATACCTCCTATCTAATAAATTGTTCTATGGTCCCCTTTATTTCTTTTTTTAAATGAGGTTTATTTATTTTTATTCTTTGTGTATAGATGTTTTACCTGCATGTATGTCTGTGTACCATGTGTATGCCAGTGCCTATGGAGGCTAGAAGAGGGTGTTGAATACCCTGTTTCTCCCACATATGTAGTATATTATCTAAAAATTCCAGTGCCAAGTGTGGGATACTTCCTTATGAGCTGTTGGTCAGGGAGGCCCCAGATGTCCCCTGCAAACAAAACAGACTATTGCCATTGCTCATGGTTTCCAATCAGAATTGGATAATAAGACCCTGTTGCTGAAGACAGCACACTTGAGTTGGAGGACACAGAAAATCAAGTTAGAACTGACATGAAAATTTACATCCCAGTAGTTAGTGCTGGAAGATGCTATGGGAGAGAAAAATTGATGGTTTTATATAACAGTAGTAGTGAACCCTGCATGCTATACAATACTGACCTGTCAGGCAAGATGTACTACTAGTTCAATAATGGCATAAATGTTTTGGGAGTAATGGCATAAATGTTTTGGGAGTAGTCATCCACTTTCTGTTTGGATTGGAGATCCCCTCTACAGAGGGAATTCATTCCTGGCACTGTAAAACCTAGTCAGAAGCCCACGACTGAGGAAGTCATAGGATCTTCGGAAGGCCCCTTACTGTTGTTTCTGCTAAATGAACATGTTGTTAAACTGCACTCTAAAGATTTGTGTTTATATCCATAGGTTGGTGCTGCTCTCAACCTTAGTTAGAGAATCTTTTGTTTTCGTCCAGTGGGCAGACAGTGATCAGTGCGGAAACTCACAGCTGGTCAAGGTGTTGAGAATAAGAGACTATTTCATGTTCAGAACTACAGCAGAAACTAGCTCTCTTCTCCCCCCCTCAGATACACACACACACACACACACACACACACACACACACACGACTGACTGCTTTCGAAACACGATGGAGTGAAGTTGGAATGAAGTGAGCTAATATAAGTGAACAGCATCCATAGGCCCTAATTAAGCTAAATATTAGGGTTCTGGGAAAGAACAGGGGGGTCCAGGCCCACCATGTACAATAAATGACTTAAGGTCAAAAGGGTGATGTGACATTCTTCTGACACTTCCTCAACGGAAAGTCAGGGGACAGGGGAAGATGAAGAGTGGTCCATCTGGATTTGAGGAAGGATTACACAACTATTTTCCCCTCCCTTCTGAATAAGCATTCTCAGAAGTTCTCCTTTGAACATCGCTATAGCCATTATTTTATCTCCAATTATAAGTTATTAAAGCAAGCCAGGATTCTGGTACTATTCCTCATCCTTTCATTTTTCCAAGATTGACAAGCAAAGAAAGCCAGAAATAAGAGTTATGTGTTTCTACTGGAATTAGGAGACAAATGAGACACTGTATTTAGCCACGTGCATTTATTAAGTTGCTTGCATAGGGGTTGGTGATAAGGGAGTTCTCACACAGTGTCCCTGGAAAACAAGAAACTGAGGACTCAGCAGCTGTTGTGGTTACCAGGGTTGCTACCCCAGCGCAGGCCAATGGCATTGATGTAGTCTTTAGCTCGGCCACTGATGAAGCCAAGTACACTGTTAGGATGCAAGGGAACAGCATTGAAACTTGGCCAGTTTCTCTTCCAAAAGATAGGTGGCGGCCCATGTTCGTGATGAAGACCAACTTCCTCACATAGAACTTGTATTTGCCAGACACCTGAATCACAGAAAGATCTCTCCCAGGTCCCCACCTGTGCCACAATTGCCATGGCATACCTGGAGACTGGGGGCAGAGGTGAGCAGGGAAGGAAGGGAAACACTGAACATGGTTATCGAAATTCAGGACCTGCTGGTCTGTACGCTGAGACTTTCAAAGAGGCAACAGAGAAGACAAGTCCCCTGCAACTCCCCCACCCCTGGATAGGAATGATGGGTGAGCCCTAGAAGATCATGCTGAGATCATGCCAATGACAGGAACAGAAAGAACTACCTCAGGAGAGACAGCAAGCAAAGATGGAGGCTACCTGAGTAGAGAACTGAGAAGAGACTTAAAGCAACGTGTTCAGTTTGAGGCCCCTGAGAAAGTTTATTAGGAGTAAAACAAAAGAAAACAAAACAAAAAAATACAGATACAGAATCTAGGTCCTCCAACATTTTACCAGCTCACACATTACCTGTGATTTG